CTTGCAAGAGCAAAAAAAAAAAAGCAAAGAAAAAAAGAAAACATCTGTTTCTCTTGTTGTAGAAAGAAACAGGACGAGGCTCAAGACTCTGTGTGTGTGTGTGTGTGTGTGTGTGTGTGTGTGTGTGTGTGTGTTGCACGGCGGGTGGGGGGGTTGTCATTTGAGTCTGCTTACTGTCCGCTGACTTCCTGCGGGGAAGATGCCACAGATGTGCCAAGTGGGGAGGACAGACTGGCCCACAGCACAGTCATCTCAACTATTGCCAGGGAAGGATGCAGACAAGATTGCCGCAACATGACAGGAAATAAAACACACTGCCTGTTATTTATTTATCTATTCATTTTTTTCCCACATTTTATCATGATTAAAAATATCAAGAAAGTTCTATTTATCCTTGCAATCTGGCTCTTTGAGCCCACTCTCCCCCCTTTTTTTCCCCAGGGAAAACTATATGAGGTCAATGATCAATACTAAATGAATCTTACATCTCCTTAGAGAATTTGACAGTTCCAATTTATGCAATTTCTTAGAATCAGCTTTCCATTTATTTTTATGCCTGGAAAATTGCTGGGTTTTTTGATGCACATTTTAACATGTCAATGAAGTCAGAAGTTATCAAGCAGCCTTGAAGAGTAATGTATTTTTCCCTACAGGGGAAATACTTTTCCCCAAGGGGTAAAATTATGAACATCTATTGTCCAAATGATTTTTCAAATTGTTTTAGTCAGAGGCAATTAGATAAAGGGAGATGTTGTCCACGAGGGGCCCTTTCGGAAGAGAGAATGAGCAGTCTTCCTCTGTGAGGTTTGCTGGCTACACGGTGGCCAGGTCCAGACCAAGGCCCTATTAGTCAAGTCTGACAGGAAAGCACACACTGCATGCATGGCCTTCAGGGTGATGTATGAGTATCCAATGTGCTGTTTGTTTCCCTTGACAATTCCCAACACCTACTTTCCACCCAGTACCAAGTAATCATAGATCTGCAGGGTGGAAGAATGGGAGGGAGATGGCCTGTTGGTTAAGCGATAGATTTGCCTCAGGTACAGACATCAGCGGGACCTCATGAATCAGCCAGCAGAGGCAAGTACCAGTTAGAGATTGAGTCATTGGCCCAGCAAAACCACTTGTCTGAACAGCAGAGCTTTGGGCAAATACCTACAAAATTCCCCAGGGCAGCTAGGACTGGAGACCCATGTGTACTTAAAGCCCTTCTAAGATCATGTTTCCCCCTCTGGCACACAGTTCAGCATTTGGATTCCCTGCTTCTCTCGACCATAAAGTCAGAAAAGACACAGAAGCTGGTGAGTTTGTTACCTACAGGCAAAATAAATGAAAACACAGTAGTTTTCAAAAGAACAAACTCTCTAGGCTTTTTCGTGTGGGTCTTTGGGCATCTCACACTAGGTCGAGAGTAAGAAAGCATAATCAGAAGAGCCCGGGAGAGCGGGATTCTTCTTTGTCTACATGGAGGTGTTGCCACGAAGGATTCCACGAGTAGAAAACAAAATAAAACAAAGCAAAAACCCAGTTCTCAAAGGGACTCCAATTGTCCTTCCTGTGGCACTGAACCATTTTGTTGTTGTTGTTAATAAATCTATATCCATGTATTTATTTATTTACAGGGACTGCTGAGACCGCGGAGTTTCTGTTTGTTCTGTTTCTGTGGAATAAAGTTATTCTGTGGTCAGAGACACCTAAGCCCACGAGGCACGCGCCATCCAGATCTGAGCTCAGGCTGTTTACATGACCTTCCAGGAAAAATATTGACAAGGCAGTAAAAATACTTTTCTTGATTGCTCAGCCTTGAAAGTTGGAATTACAGGGACTTTTCTCTTTTAGTTGTTATTTTTAGCTTCTCTATTTTTCTACCTTTTGACTTTTTGGAGAGGGGGGGGGACTTGCCTTTGAAAATGCAGTCTATCTATACCCATTGTGAAAATCGAGGAACAGAAAGCCTTTCCAGCAGCCTCACTATTTCCCTCCGATGATTTCCCCAGCTGCTTGAGGGACAGGGTCTCTCAGCTTCTGGAGATAAGGAGAAAAAGGAGAGTTTTTCACAGACCAGAAGAAACTTCAGAGAACGAAGAGAGCACTTGCTGCCAGTTCTCAGAAAGGCCACCATTCTTTCCCACTTGCCTTTGACCAAAGATTAGATAGTCACAGATATGGTGGCATGAGCTGAGTCTCACTTTATGGATACATACATGCATGCATGTGTGTATGACTGCATGTATGTGTCTATGAATACATGCATGCATGTACGTATCAGTGCATAAATATGTGTATGGTTTCATGTATATATGCATGCATTCATGTGATTATCTGTTTTGAGACAAGGTCTCACTGTGTATCCCAGGTTGGACTTGAACTTCTGATTTTCCTGTTTCAGTCTCCTGAATGCTGGGATAATAGATCTGGGGCACAGTTCCCTGTCTAAATCTGACTTTATTGACGTTATGCAACCTCATTTAACTCCATCAGGATATCCCAGAAGCAAGAGACCCACTCCATTTGGTCTCTCCTGGCCACTTACTATTAGCTCTGCACTCCACTGTTTAGCCAATCTCTCTTTTATTTGTTACCTATCTAGCTGAATCCAAAGTGTATATCTATCTGACTATTTTATTCTTTGTCATTTTCATCAAAGTTAAAGGTACTGATTTTCTGGATGCAGACACTATATTCACATTTTATTTTTGCTTTTGATTGTAATTATAGTCAAGTGGCATTTTCATTGATCTTGTAATTAGTTCAGAAGTGTAGTACTTATGTATCTTGACTTTCTTATTGATTGACAGGGATGATTTTATTTTTCTTACTCCAAAAGAGCAGATGGAACTTGCCACTCTTGAAGGAAACTGCTCAAAGAATCTGTATCAGTGCTGTAAAATATCCTTTTGAGTGTCTCCTGAAACTATCCAGTGTTTCTTAGGTAATGTACAATGCATTGCTGTCACTGACGAACATCGGACGTCATTTCCAGGGTTAGGTACAGATTCCTTTAGAAACATTTCTGCTGAGGGATTCCCCACAGAACTTCACTGCCTCGGTCTGTGGAGCCTGCCCTTTATGCACCACAGTCTTTGCCTTCTTCATTTTCCTTCATGAAAACACGTACACTTCTAGCCAAGCAGCCATGCAGAATACACAGAGGACATTGACTGAGATAAAAGAATGAAACTATTGAGTCTCTTAGCGAAGACATCCAACTGCTCACCCTGGAGCATACACAACTGGTACCCAGCAAAGAGGTGCTTGGTTAGGTTAGTACTCCTCAGCTGCTCAGGACTGGGGCTCACCTGTCATCTCGGTTCCCAGATCACAGAGAGGTTAAACTACCCTTTCCCTAACAGTTCACATGATATTGTGTCTCCTCCTCTTACTGCTAGCAAGATATTTTTTAAATATACCACCACAGGGCTGGAGAGTTGGCTCAGCAGTTAAGAAAACTACCAGCTCTTCCAAAGGTCCTGAGTTCAGTTCCCAGCAACCACATGCTGGCTCACAACCATCTGTAATAAGATATGGTGCCCTCTTGAGGAGGAGACCTGGTCAGTCGTCCTCATCAACTTAGACCATGAAATCCTATATGGACAGGTTCAACAGAACCACCATATATGGGCTGCCCATTCACGCTGAAGCGTTGCCAGAGCATATTCATTTCTTTCACATCCTTGAAGGGAGTTTTTCCGTGATTCAGTTGCTACAACAACGAGATGAACCCGTATGATTCACCCTAGGGGAGGCAGGTGTCATTTCACTATAATTGCCAGGATATCTGTCCAGCTACTGCATCTATAGCAAGCATATCACTTAGCCTTACTAGTGTACTTACACATTGTCCAGTAAACATGGAGGAACTCGAATTCAGAGCTAGCTATATGCCACATGTTGTTCAGATGGCGGGGGAGCCCCTACTCCCTACTGTCACATCTGAGATAATACTCTTATTCATTATCGGTTTTCAAACCAAGGATAAAGAGTGAGTCCAGTCGATTCTGCCATGGTCACCAAAGTTTGAAAGCAAATTGTGAGAGCTCACCTAAGGACACTTGCAGCGCTGGTTATGGCAAGAGTTGTTTATGTGGCCTGGGAGGTACCTAACCCAGATGAGTCACTCGCATTTAGCTCCTAAGATTTGGCCAATTTCTCTATTTTAGAATCCACAAATATTACAATTTCCACGAGAAACCTCAGAGGTCCCATTTCTGGCTCAGGAGAGGGTTAACACACTCCACCCAAGAGTCTTCCAGTCCTGGGCTTCATTCGTTTTCCAAAACCCGAGCATGTTCTGTTTATTAGTCCACTGCACATCGTTAAAAGAAAACCCACACACCAACAGTTAGCTGAATCCCAGCCACGCAGTGTTGCAGTGACCTTGACCTCATCTCCCCCTCACACTCTTGGATTCGATTGATTCCCAGAACCCAGCGTTCTGCAGAGAGGCCTCTGAGTCAAACAAAGGAGGGCGTTTCAATGGCCTGCTTCCACAAGGAATTAAGTGCTTTCTCCTGGTGTGCCTCTTGATGTCCTTTCACCAAGCGTTAAAGAAGCAGGTTTCCAGGAGAAAAGAAGTAGAATTCTTGCAGCAGTCAGATGTATGTGATGTGCAGATAAAGCCTACATATGTAAGGCCAGAGGGAGTGGGGATAGAAGCAGAGCCTTGGTACATTTTCCTCCCACCTCTGCTCAATGCCATTTGAACTTCACGACTTTGAGGTTCTTTGTCTCTGCTTTGAGAGTTAAAAGCAGTGAGCTTGAAGGTAGCGCTGCTGTTGCCAGTCTCTAACACCCTCTTGTGATTCACTCGATCCTTAAGAGGTTGGATCAAGTTCTGGTCTCGAGAAGAAACTTAAAAGGGAAAAGTACACCTGGTTCCAAAGCACAAAACTGTAGGGAGAGACCTGGCAGAAATGGCCGTGGTGACTCAGGCAGGCCAGCACCCCTAAAAGGGCACTGCATATTTGAAGTAAAGGGACCCTCACATTTTTGTTTTACAGATGTGTTCTAAAGTGCTGACTCCCTCTTCATGGTCCCAAATTTCTCCAGCTTTAGGCTTCTGACAATGGGCTAGCATCCCTGAAGCATCATTAGACTGAAGGAGGATGTAGGTAAAGGGATGTTCCTGAGCACCTGTGATCTGGCAGGAAGTACTTCAGTGGGTGGAACTGGATGGACCAGATGACTGGAGCACAAGAATTAATGGAGTAAGAAGGAACGTCTTCATCTTTCAAAAACACTTGCCTTAGTTTGTGTGGACAACTGTTCGTCTACAGTCTGTGTCTTGGTGTCCTCTGCAAACAGAAAGACTGTTACCCACAAAAAAATGACACTCCAGAGGAGCCATGATTTGGTTCTCAAAGTGAAGTCATGTAGATGGGAACTCTTCTCCATGTGATTTGGTGAAGGCAAGGCTCACCATTCAAGTCAGCCCATCGAGGTCCAGGGTAAAGGGGTGTTTTTCTTCAATGTTCCTCACAGTAGACACCTAGCAATACTAGATTCTTAAGACTTATTTTCATGGATGCTACATTTTAAGGTCTTCATTTTTTTGTTTAGTTGACTGACCTTGAATTTAATTGTTCATAATAGATTGGTGGAGGAAAAAAGTCAGTGAATGGTAGGTTGTTGACAAAGATGTCTTCCAACAATTTTTTCCATGCCTTACCCAAATGGCGTATTGCCATCAAGACGCAGGCGGATTCCCTACCTCATTTATAAATTGCTCTAACCCAGTGCAGTGGAAGCAATGTTCTGGAATTTCTCAGGTCAGACTTGAAGAGGACTTGCTGTTTTAATCCAAAGTTTGTATCTATATGTCATTGAAGAAAGTTTGTGTCAGGCTGCACATGGGGAGTAAGAGAGGCCCAACTAGTTCCCAGTCATTCCAGCCCTGTTAACTGAGATGCCAAATATGTGTGTCTATGATCTTGGGTGTTCCAGCCCTCGCTGAGCTCCTAGCTGAACGCAGCCATGTGGCTGACCCCAGCTGACATCACTGGGAAGGGTCCAACTGAGTCCAGCCAACCGACAGAGCCATGAGAAATAACAAATCATGCCGTCTTAATCCCTGTGTCTTGAGGCAGTTTATTAAGCAGCAGTAAATATCTGGAAGCCACAGGGAGCTAGGCTTGCCCAGCTCAGAACTCCCGATTCACTGCAGGGGGAGAATTTCTTAGTGGTCCCTTATCTGGTATGGAGACTTTGTCCCTGTCACACATTGTGCTTCCTGTAGAGCAATTGTAGGAAATCATACCAAAGGGTTGGTATAAATTTAAAAGCCATATCCTCAGGATTTACCTAACAGAACTCCTGTCATGGAAAGGGCAAAGAGAAGGAGTGCTCCCTGGGCAGAGTGATGAAGAAGGTAGAATTTGGTTCTGGGTTAGCCATGTTAGCATCTTGATCTAACCCAGTAAACTCACCAGGCTTCACTAACCAGAATAAGAGTCGCGACCGCCTGTCACTCTATGTTTAGAAAGTGCTTCGATGTTCTCTGTTTCACTGGCTGCTGACCTTAAACTTTTGAGAAAAATATACCTTAAAAGAGAAAGTCACTTTCTGTTGAGATGTAACCCACAGGAATAAAATTCTTGCCCTTTAAGTCCACAAGTCAGTGGCTTTCAATAAACACACACACCTCATGTAACTCCCTCCTGCTCCTGAGTCAGTATCGGTCTAGAATATTTTTTTCCAGAAACCCCCCCTGTACATTTCTCACTCAGTGATCTCTACTGTGTCACCTACACAACCTCTGATTGACTTTCTGCAATTATGAAACAGCTTTGGTTTTCCCAGAGTCTCATAGCATGAGATAATTGGCTATGTTCTCATCCCATACCAGTTTCTTTCATCCAGAAGACCCAGATGTATTATTGCACACATTTTGGGGAGGGGGAGAGAAAGGACTTGTTTTTCCCATTCTGGTACTTAAAATATTTCATCTTATGTGTGTGTGTGTGTGTGTGTGTGTGTGTGTGTGAGAGAGAGAGAGAGAGAGAGAGAGAGAGAGACCCCAAGCCTTTGGTTTCTGGAGACACGTCTTACTTATATACCTAGGACCGATCTCAAGCTTGCCCTAAATCTCAGGCTGACCTTGGAACCATAACCCTTCAGTTTTGGCCACCCCAATGCTGATGTTACAGACATGACCATCAGGCCTCTTCAGACCAATCACACATCACTTTCATAAAGTGGGGGAAAGAGGCTGGGTGCTCACATTCGTTAGCTACATTCCTGATGCCTTAGGAAACATTGGTTATACTATCCCAAGCAGTACCCAAATGGCGAAGACTTCCCCAGCACAAGGAAAGATATTCTGTTAGACTGATTCAAAGAATATTTTCCCCTTATGGCATGAGTATCTGCTCCATATAAACCAATCAGAACCCTTTTGCCCAGAACATTTGTGCTGGGAACAAGGATCAGAGCTGTAGAGGATGGTGCAGGCGCATGGCCAGGGACCATGATTCCTGTCCCATGGAAGAAATTTAAATTAAGAGACAAAGAAGCATCCAGAGAAAGGCAATGTCAAAGAATAACAGAAAGCAAACCCTGGCAGTGTGAAATATGAGTTGCATTTGTGTTTGAGGGCTGGTAGCATCCTTGACTTTGAAGTGAGCTGGTATCCAGCATGTCACTTGATATCTTACCTTCTGTCTCTACCAGTGAACTTTCTCTGAGTTACCCAGAGTCAGGTTCCTGCCACCTGTAATCTAAAGACCCTCCAGTAACACTGAGCACTTAAAAGGGTTTAACTGGGGTTAATCATTTGCATAAAGTTTCCAAATCCTGGAGAAGGCTCTCAGCTTTCGCAGTAATCCTAGCTGAAAACACTGTGTCTGTATCCAGCAAGAATGACAGAAATGTCTCTACCCATCCAAACATATTCTGTCTCCATGTAGCATGTGCAGAAGTTGACAGTGTGCTCCAAGAGGAAACCCAATTCTGCAAAGCCTATGGATGACAAAATATTATATAAATACTCCATGTTCAAGATCAGTACATTCTATACATATTTGTTTCCTACTGAGAACTCTTTTTTTTTAAATGGAAATTGACCTGGCCTATTATAACAAATGTGAGTAAATCTGCTCTCAATTTCTTCTCATATCATACACAGGTAGTGGATGATGATTTAAGTGCTTTAGGTACAATACTTCCGTAAGAGTGACCAGGGGTAGTTCACCTCTCGTTAGGTAGCACAAATACCAGCCACAAAAAAATCAATTATTTTTAGTTTTAACAGATATTATCATTAGTTTTTTGAGAATTCTATACACCATATTTTGAGCATACTAACCCCTCATTTTCCCCCTTAACTCCTGCTTCCCCGCTCACTGAATCCATGATCTCCTTTAGATCATTTGAATTGAACAAGTCGCTGGCTCCAACTTATGCTGTCCCTATACTTGTGATGGTGATTGTGGGGAACATGAACAGTTAGCAGGAGTCACACCCATAAACAAACCCTCTTCTGTTTGCCCTAAAGCCATCAACTGCCCATAGCTCTGCAGATGGGGTGGGGTGGGGGGCTCACAAACCCCTTCCTACTCCACGCTAGAGTGTAGGTTGGCTTGATCTTGCCAAGGTCTTTGGCAGCAACCACAGCTGCTGAACTTTCATGAGGGCAACGGTGCTGCCATGTCCAGAGGACACAGTTGTGCTCTCGTTCTCCCCAAACTCTCATTCTTCCCATCTTTCTGCTTCTGCTTTTGCAATGATCCCTAGGCCTTGGGGGTAGAGTATGACAGAAGTGTCCCTTTTGTAGTTGTGGACTCCACTGACACTCATTCTCTACACATGGGCTAGTTGTGTGTTTCCGTGTTAACCATCATCCACCCCTCGAAGAAACATCTCTGATGAGGACTGACAGCTGCCCTAGAGAATCAACACATCCCTTGATTATCATGCAAATGAGGCTTCCATTTACCGGAGACCAGTTATTGTCAGTGGCCCCCCAAGAGAACTAGGTAAGTAGATGAAGTTGACGCCTGTTGAATTTCCCACCTCTCTCTTCTGCTATTCTCACCGCAGTGAGATTTTAGTCTATACTTTACTTAGCAACTTTTCGCTCCTATTGTTTCCACTTCTCCTTCTCCTTTCCCTACATAATCTTAAGCACAAAGCCAAGCCTTCTAACCCCTCCCCAGAAAGCTCCCGGGTGAGCAGAAGGGAGAACATTCAACAGTTTCCATTCCAGAGCACTATGTTCCCGGGGTCAGCATGCTCAGAGGGTAAGCATGCAAGAACGGAGGATAATTGAATTACAGATTTCCATTGTGTTCAAGATGTTTAGCTCTTACACACATGTAGCAAGTCTTGATTGCTTAAGAGGTCCCTGGCGTGTTTTTGGCAGGAGAAGGCCTTCGCATGTGCCTGGCTGTAGTCCAGGGGACATGTAAAGTTCTGGGATTGCTTAGCTACTCCTCTGCCTGTTTGCTTCCAATTCCTTAGAAAGAAAGTTGAAAACAAGGATGAAGAAAGACAAGGCGTGTTGACTCTGATGATTCAAATCATTCCTTTTTTCTAAATCCCAAGATAAAGTTCATGACCCAACAGATAAGACTCTCCTCAGTGGGATACTTGAAGAAAACGAGAAGCAACGGGAACTCTCATTAAATGTCAGTCAAGAAAGATAAAGACCAGCTCTTGAGAATGTGCATCTGGGCTGTGTGTGTGCGTGTTGAAGTTCATCTTAGGAGTGCAATAGTGTTTTTAATGACTTTCAGTTCTGCTTAGGATGAGAAGCTAAGGGAAAAAAGAACCGTAAATGCTCTCCACACACTGTTTTCTAATGTGGGGTCTAAGGATGTGACTCGGGTCTTTGCTTGCAAGGACTCTTTCTTCTTGTTTTTAAATTGCTCCCCAGCCTTATTCTGATGAGTGCTTGCTGTCCCAGGACCTTCGAGACAGTGATAGGCAGAACTCTCAGACTCACAGGTCAGACAGCCTATCTAGAATTTTCTTGGAGAGTCCCAGATCAATGAGAGATTTTAACTGAAAGCAATAAAGTGGACAGTGCTCAAGGAGCAGCAGCCAAAGCCAACCTCTGTACGTATGTATGCACGCGTGCAAGAGAGACTGCACATACAACCATTTGCACCAACAACTTAGAAGAGAGGCTCACAAAGAGTGAAAATTGAAAATATTAATTTGTTTAGAGTTTTCATTTACAGTTTAACATGCTTAGTCATAAATATGTAAGAATCTGGAATTCAAAATGAAGTTTGGAAAGGGAGCAGAATCCTTGAAGGTATAAAGTCCCAAGGATCTGCATCCTAGAGGAGTCAAACTTCTTTATCTCATCTTCTCCCACCACAACCATTCAGCCTTCTATTTTCCTGATATCTCTAAGGTACAGGTGAATCTGCTTCTGTGTGTTGGGAAACAGCAAGCATCATTCTCTCTTGGCTCAGACACAAGACATCCCTTGCTTTACAGAAAGAGTACTTCCCCCTGTCCCTTGCTAGAAAACCACATGGCAAATACAGCAGCCTGCCTGTCAAACTCTCAGTTAAAGAGAGATGAGACAGGAACAGCTGTGAAATTTGGTAGGAGCTGGTGGGATGCACAGTTGCTCAGGCAGAGAAGAAACTCCTGTTGTCCTCTATCCTTATTTAGAGTTGAGAACCCTACCACCTGGCATATGTTCTGGGCTGTGTCTTAAGATGGAGCAGAATCTTTGAATCTGGAGCAACTGTTGATTATTTGACTGGCATAAAGTTAACAGTCTAGAAAAATACATAAAGACGAAGGAGGGGAGGAAGATGAGGGATACTTTGTGTAAAGCTGCCACTTGGTGTGAACTGGTTTAATTGGTATTTTGTTGCCCAGTACCAAAGAATGAGGAGTGCTTGTTGGAAATAACAAGGGTGAAACAAATTTTTTTTGAAACAAATTTTTAATCACGAATAACAGCAATAAGAGGTCTGGACAGTAGTTTTGGGTATCTGCAGATCAGGAAAAAGAGGCCAGTCCATAATAGAAAAAGTAGTAAAAAGAGGCAAAAAATAAGATGGAAGGCGTAGAGAAGCTTAAGGTGTCAGATGGACAGTAACCTTGGAGACCAGCTCCTCTTACTCCCCTCTATGCTCTTTTCCCATAGCAGCCACTCTGAAATTGTTCTTTGTGCTGTGTCTATGCTTTTCTTGTCTTTCCTGTGATGCTTTCTCAGAGCTTGGCTAAGCCATGGACTATATATGTATTTTCTGTATTTGTCCATGGACTATATATGTATTTTCTGTATTTGTCCATGGACTATATATGTATTTTCTGTATTTGTCCATGGACTATATATGTATTTTCTGTCTTTTGTTATTGTCTCTATCACCACAGCACTAGGAGCAAAATGAATGTCCCATAAATGCTCTTTTTTTTTTCAGGATGTCTCCAGAGCAGGCTGGAGGATCAGGCTTCACAGTAGACAATAGTGTAAGGCATCAAAATGATTCATTTTGGAGAAGCTACTGATTTTCGTATCAGGGAGTTTTTTTCACAATAACAATTTGGTGTGTGTGTGTGTAAGAAAGAGAAAGAGACAGACACAGAGAGAGACAGAGAGACAGATA